ACACAGTCATTTCGTCCCCTCAAGCTAGAAGCGGGATCTAATCCACCTAGATTGCACTTGGAATTGGAAAACAGACTTCGGAATTCTGAAACAGGATGTACCATTGGGGCATGGCCCCTTGGAGTCTCAGACCTGCCGTTCACGAAACGGCCCACCCTATGGTTATGTTGCCTTTTTGCAGATTTTTAGTAGAGGACTTTCGATACCAGTCGCTGTCTCACAGTCCCGTTCTGGATCTTCGTTAACATATCGGCCAAATTGCATTTATGACTATCCAGTTACCAGATTACCAGATTACTAAAATCAACCACAACCACAACAACCAAGTAGTAACACAACACTATAGCAACCTCTTTATCAACACCACCATCAGCCTTTTTCGGTTTGCTACATGTATTCTATTGCCTATTGCCATCAATGAGTGCATATTAGTACCATCACCAATAGTACTACATGTATTTTTGAGTACCAGCGCGCTCGCTCGATTGGCTGCTGCGACCAGTGACTGGACCAGTCCTGTGAAAGAACTCCGTTTGTCCGCTCTAACCCTTACGGTACCGTAGTAACGCCTCTTTCCATCTTACAAAATTTTGTGCCAGAAAACTAAAGAAACCGGAAACTCGAGATCCCACACTCATCACAGGGCAATAACTGAACTACAGGTACTAGCTAGAACAGCCTATCCTGGGCAGCCATTGTCATCACAGTAATGACCTTCCGCCAATTATATAAGTTTGGTGACTGTTTGCTATTCCGTGAGTTGACTACATACCATCATCACGATGCTCATCCTTTGGGTTCTTTCTGTATCATTCATCTGTCTATCCACGGCTAATGGTGTGGGTGCCGCCGAGCTGGCAGCCTACAACATGACACCAGCCACTCCCAACCATGTCAGTCTAAGACAAGACGTATGTGGACGATACCAAAAGTACGATGCCGGCGAGATTGAGCTCAAGGATGCTCTATCGGGTCTATCCTTGAACCCCGTCTTTACCCACGACATCCATGGCGTTGCTTCCAAATACAGTCTCGAAACGGGAATTGACACTACCAATCCGGGAATTCTTATCGAATTGCTCGATGCCGTGGCACAACGTGCCAATTTCACTTGGAGGGACTCCTTTGCCATTACCAGCACGCCGGATGCCTACAACATGACATGGAGGGAGCTGTTAGTGTGGAGTATTGAAAACTATGACATCTCCATTCATGGATGGGCACATACCGTGGAACGAATGGAACAAGGGGTCACATTCACAGAGCCATGGCTGGATGCCAGCTACATTTTGATTGACCGCAGAAAGTCACTGAGAGACACCAAGACCATTGATCCATTCAACTGGACGAAGCCATTTGAACCGGCGGTTTGGGGAATGATCCTCTTGACAGTGCTGGTATCGGCTCTGGTCTACCAGCTCATTGAGCATCTCAGTGGAGAACGAGAAGACAGGTCACTCTACCAATGGTTCTCGGACAACCTGTATCTCAGTGCCATTAATTTCTCCCAGAACTTTGAATATGCTCCCAACAGTTTTGGGGGCAGAATCTTTGGGGTGAGCATGACAATTTGGGCTTTGGTCATTGTTGCCACATACACTGCCAATCTGGCTTCACTTTTTGTGGAAGAGAGAATCGAACCTGTTTTGGTGGATTCCATGGAGAAAGCAGTGGTCTATGGTTCCCCAGTGTGTACGTTTCAGAATACCAATTCAGACTTTTTTATCCGAGAAACCTACCCAAAGGCAATACTGGTTCCAAAAGTGGATGAAATCTCCATGTTTGAGGCTCTGAGAAATGGTGAATGTGAATTGGCCGTAACCTTTGCTGGTTCATGGTTGCTGCATCAGGTGAACGAAGAAGTCAACCCGGATTGTGATTTGGAATGGGTAGGTGACAAGGTCAAAACGGTCAAGTCAGGTTGGGCGGTCATTGCGGATGCAGGCAACAAGTGCAGCAGTTTGGTCCGACAAGTGGTGAATTTACATTTGGTGGACATTGTGGAAGAAGGGTTCCTAGACGAGCTTTGGGAAAAATACAGAGATCTGGTCGATGATGGCACTTGCACGTATGAGTCTCTGGATGACCGACGGCGACTTCAACAACCCAAAAGTACTCCTCCATCTGCAAAGGCTCAGAATGTTGCAAGTGCCACCACTAGGCATCGGATACTTAAGGGTGCAGGAAGGTCGGCTTCAGGGACAGAGGATGGTGTTGATGCGGATACCTTGACACTTCAGCAAATGGCAGGAACCTTCATTGTGCATTATGGAGCCATGGCTATCGCTGTTTTAGTGAGTTTAGTGGCTGTGTATGCAGAGAAGAAGAAGTGGTTTCAGAAAGAAGGGCAGGTAGTGGAGAAGGTGATCAACAGGACCCATGGACCCATCATTGGAATGCCACCTCCACTCAATACTTATGTGGTCCGCAACAGCGATGATGCTCTGGATATCAGTCATGTCAGCCACAACACAGGGAATGGAAGCAGAATCGTCCGCAATGACACTGGAAATTACAGCAGGCAGGAGCGTGCGCGTTTCAGTTCTGAAAACGACTACATGGACGAACCAACGGATGTTGGTGGCACTGTCAACAGGCGAGAGAACCAAGGGTTCAACGGTGATTTTGATCCGGCAGAAATTGTAGTGAGAATGAATGAGATGCAGAAAGCACTAGATAGCCAGGCGGCAACTCTGGAGGCCCAGTCCAAAACTTTGGAGACCCAGTCCCATATGATCCGGCAGTTGCTGATGAGAACGATTCATGAGCACGATGTATAAGATGGCAAGGTTATGTTGCCGGATGCAACGATTTTCAATCCAAATGCTTTCAGTCTGATGGGCCCGAAGGCATTGTTGTTGAGCTTTGCAGTTTTGGTATGATTGGAAAGCAATGGCTCCGGCTACAGCTACAGCAGCAAAGAAGACCAACACAAATTCTGCAGACTTAACGCCGTCATGCCCCGGTCCCCTGGAACGTGGCTAATAGAGATCGTAACTCATGGATATCAGACTACTAGTACGGTGACACGAGAAAGCACGGGCTTCGTCGTTGGCGAGGGGGGCGCCTTCTGAAAGGTCTCGCACCGTACCGGCACAACACTCAACACTAAACCGCGACACCAGCATGCGGCTATACAATAACCACGCCGAATTGAAGAAACGGTTTCAGTTCCGTCGAGGCGGGAGGCAGAGACGAGTCGTGGTACGAAGCTCTCATATTTTCGTAGTCCGGATTGTCGAACGTGACGTGCTGTATTCGTACCGGTATGCAGCGGCAAAGCATGTAGACCTCGACAACGCAAGAGCATACTCATAAGACTTCATCGTAGATTCAAGTTACCACGAAGCGCAGAGAGAGTCTACTTCTCATGGTTGCTGGCCGCTCTAGTATTGCTTCTGGTACCGGTACACTGATCAGCGCATCCTCGTCTTCAAGTGTATTGATCGTACTCGAGGAGAAACGCCTACCATAACTTAAAACGAACGAGGGGATGAGGACTAGGAATGCAATGGAGGGGAAATGGAGGGCATTGAATGGAGCGCAATTGAAGTGATAGGCAGGAACGGAGCCAGAGGACAAGGGGAGGGAAGCTCTTCCAGACAAGGAAAGGTGCGCACGAGCGAGCGCCAGAAGCGCCTTGGGCGGGTAGCACGAAACTTGGCAAGCACCCGACATGTTGCGAGTTGTGAGCCTAGGAGCACAGCTACGGAGAAGCAACCTGATTCCAAACTTCCCAAACAAGCTATCCAGATTGTTTGGCTGGCTAGCACCAATATCAAACTTCCGTGTCGTTTGATATCTTCCCTGCACTACATGCTTTTTAACGCTTTGTAAAGGAGAAGTCACTACGGTTTAGAGTGGACTATGGTGAGGAGGGGTTTCAGGGCAGGATGCAAGAGTGCGAGCCAAATGAGCAGATCAACAGCACAATCAAAGAAGGAAAGGGGGGCAAGGGAGGAGGGTGGAGAGAGTATCAAGATTATCCTAACAAAACAAGGGATGAAGTGCTCGGAGGTTGCCAGTCACAATGGCACGCGCATCGTGGGACACCCAGCACGTCGTCAAGTGTCCGAGTACGAAAAGAGAACCGAAAATCACGTTCGTCCTGAACCGAGACTCAAATCTAACCCTGCTGACGATTTGAGGAATAGGTTACTAACCTATACACTAACCTGGTAGAAAATTGCACTAGGTTAGTGTATAGGTTACTAACCTGATAGAATTTTTGTAGTAGGTTAGTGTATAGGTTAGTGTCAGGTATTTATCAGGTAACCTGTAGGTTACCTGATAAAGTAACCTGGTATTGTCATAGTAAGTTACCTATTACTGTATATAAGGTGTTTTGCCTTGTTAGTTAGTTAGATGATAGTTGATAGGGTGGTTAGGCATCAGAGATAGTCACCCATGACGACTCGTAGTGCCACCCAAGGGTTAGTCAACTGCAGAATGCGAGGGTGGCTAGGTAACAGAGATAGTTACCCTTGACAACTGCAGATTGAGAGGGTGGTTGGATAACAGAGATAGTTACCCTTGACAACTGGAAGGCGTGGGTCTTCAGTGGTAGTGCCACCCAAGGGTTAATCTACTGCGGAATGAGGAAAATGGCCCCAAAAACGGTGAAAAGTAACCTGATAGAAAACCTGGTAAGTAACCGGTACACTAACCTAAGATCGTAGATCGTATTAGGTTAGTGTATCGGTTACTAACCTGATAGAATTTTTTTAACAGGTTAGTGTAAAGGTTACTTTATCAGGTTCCGGTTACCGGGCTTGCCCCCCAATTATTTTGGGGGAATCCAAAGACTTTTATGAGTAAACTTACTAAGTTCAGTCACTTTTTGCTAAAATCGTATGACTTTTATTAAAAGCTTTAGTAATTCCCCGGAATGCATCGCATTCCCCGAGCTTGACGGAGGGAGCCGAAAGAAAAAGGACGAGCGAGGAACCAAGGTACTGCCAACTTGAGCTTGTCGTACTAGGACGAGTGCCAAGCCCCTCCTGAGGCACATTCTCTTTGGGGTCATCGCTCCTCCCAGGTACCCCGCAGCACTGCTCAGTACAGCGTAGCTACAGCGTACATTATGTACTTCTTGAGTTCCGGTAGTCCGGTACCGGTAGTAGCTGCCCACTTCCAGGATTTGAAAGGAGCAGACCATCACAGCATCCGAAAGGAGCTCAATGTGTGTTCTCATTTCAGTCATTCTCTCATTTGCCTTCCCTTTTGGAGAACGGATTTTGCAGGCTTCACCCTCGCAATGTGCACCAGTACCAAAGACCCACTGCCAGGCAGCGTACCTTTAGGGTCCCAGTAGCTGCCAGTCCATGTGTGCCGGTCATTGGTGCTTGCTTGCTTCGCATACTGGATCTGCACTGGACTTTTTGAGAATTGATTGAATGATCAATCATTCATTCCACAAACCCAGAGAGCAACTCATTCTCACAAACTTGACTGATCAAGTTGAACTCTTGCTCCCTTCTACCAGTATCCTTGCTTCAGGCGCATGATGACGCACAATCGTCTTTCTTTTTTCGCGGCATTCATCCTCTTTGTCTCTAGTACTGCCAGTGGTCTTGGTGGGGAACTCGCTGCTTTCAAGACCAGCCCCTCGTCCTCTGGCTACAGCAGCCATAGACAAAACGTTTGCGATAGATTTGAGAAATATCGTGCTGGAGAGATTCAGTTAACAAACGCACTCTCAGGTCTCTCCGTGATACCTGTTTTCATTCGTGATGAAAACCGTCCCCACTACTCCAAATATAGCCTTGTTGATGGCATCAACAAAAAGAATCCAGGAATTATGCTTGAGCTCCTGGACGCTGTTGCAGATCGAGCCAATTTCACCTGGCGTAACTCCTTTGCAGTCACAGAGGTCCCCAAGAGCTACAACATGACATGGACTGAGCTGCTGCTCTGGAGCATTGAAAACTATGACATATCGATTCATGCATGGGATCATACTGCAGAAAGGATGGCACAAGGAGTCACATACACAGAGCCATGGCATGATTCCAGCTTAGTTTTGGTTGACCGGAGGAGATCCATCAAGGATGCTGGTATTGATCCACTGAATTGGACAAAGCCATTTGAACCAGCAGTTTGGGGTATGATTCTTTTAACTATTCTATTGTCTGCACTTGCCTATCAGCAAATCGAATATCTCAGTGGAGAAAGAGGAGAACGATCACTCTGCCAATGGTTCTCTGACAACCTCTACCTCAGTGCCATCAACTTCTCCCAGAACTTCGAGTATGCCCCTAATACTTTTGCAGGCAGGATATTTGGAGTCAGCATGACACTTTGGGCTTTGGTCATCACAGCTACTTACACTGCAAATCTGGCATCACTGTTTGTCGAATCGAAGGTAGAGCCCATTTTGGTGGATTCTATGGAACAAGCAGTGGTCTATGGATACCCTGTCTGCACAAAAGACAACACCAATGCAGACTTCTTCATCCGACAGACCTTTCCAAAAGTCCACCGTGTCCCTAGGATGGACTACAAGGCATGCATCCAATCAGTGAGCAATGGTGAATGTGCATTGGGTCTGATTCCCCTTGACTCATGGCTAACTTACAAGGTAAATGATGACTATAATCCAAACTGTGATTTGGATTGGGTCGGTGATATGGTGAAAGAAATCAAGGCAGGATTTGCTGTCACTGCTGATGCAGGCCACAAATGCAGCAGTTTGGTGCGCAATGTTGTCAATGTACATCTCAAGGCTTTGGTAGACGATGGACTCTTGGAAGAGCTTTGGCAAAAGTACAGAGATTTGGCTGATGATGGCACTTGTGCCTATAATGATGATGACAATGGACAAGCTAATTCAAACCGGCGGCTTCAGTCCCAAAGGACCCTCCAGGCAATGGCCCAAAGTGGTCGCAGTGTGCCGTCTACGCATAGAATGATGAGGGGTGGGGGAAAGCCGTCAGGAGGAGGAACAGATGGTGTTGACTCTGATACATTGACTCTTGAGCAGATGGCTGGGACTTTCTTTCTGCACTGGGTAGCCATGGTGGTGGCCATTGTGGTGAGTTACATCCGATCATACTTTCCAAAGCTACATTGCTGTGACCAGAAAGGGCATGTAGCGGAGAAGGTTACCAACAGGACAAATGGACCCATAATTGGATCTCCGCCACCAGTCAATACTTACGTAGTTCGCAACATCAAGGAGCAAGCATTGGATATCAGTCATGAATCAGGAACTCACAACAGGCTGGAAAGCGAATCCTGCTATGATGTTGCACATGCAGAAATCGTTGCTGAAATGAATGCAATGCGAAGAGCTCTAGATGTGCAAACAAAAGTGATGCAGCAGTTTTTGGAGGCACCTCACAAGGAGCAGTTTGTCTGAATTCCCTTTTTGGGTAGCCTGTGTAGATTATGCAACTTTAGAAATGATTTTGCTTGAGATTGGCGGCTTTGGCTAGTAATTGGTTGCGTCATGGATTTGCTCGCTCTTGGCTTCATGCATCAGTGTTTCGTAAAGTTGCCCTTCCTTCAAAGGATCCACACTCGTCATAGCGACCACAGCCTCAGTGCGGATCTCGAGGCAGGCATCCCACACTCGTCATAGCGACTACAGCTGCAGTGCGGAAACAGGTATCGACGCCAGTTTCGTTCACTGGTCTGCTTCAGCTAACCAAGGGTTTGTCTTTGGACAGATTGGTGCGATCATTATTACCCTCTAGATTGATCACATGATTCTTCGAATGGCTCTGGCTACTTTGAGGACACTGTGCTCATCGGAGCGCGAGAACAGCTCCAGTTGCGATCTGTCGCCGCTTCTCGCATCGACGTTTGCGTATGATATGATACAATCGAAGCAAGCCGCGGTGCCGCAATTGAAGTGGGATGCAGGTTGTCTCGAGTGGTAAAGGAGTGCGTGAATCCGTCGGTCCACCCGCTGGAGGGTGGCACAAATCAACCTACGTCCTCCATTAGTTAACTACTTTAACCATTTGTGACCTCCCTCAGCCACCTTCTACCGCCTGTTTTACCGCTGTTTTACCGCATTCTATTAACACCGCCTTCAACCGCCTGTTCTTCCACCTAACCATTTCTACCATTGTTTACCATTGTTCACCATTTTCAACCAACCTCTATCACCTTCTTTTTCGGCGATAATGCGGGAAAACTCGAGATAAGATAGTAACAGTTGGTTTGTGCCACCCCCCAGCGATCTACCGGTAGGCACAGTCGGAACCTTGCCAGCTACATTTATTTGCTGCTGCGCGTGTGGCGTGTGAAGCGGGAAGACCACAACGGGCGTCAAGATGCCGTTGCAGCTGATGGTATCGAGTCCTGGTAGGGCTCTTATCCGGAGACTGAACGAAAACCACGTAAGTCGATGATGCGCCAGGCACTCGCGGCGCAAGCATGGGGATGGGCAAATCTTGCAACAGCCCTGTATTGTAACGGAGTGTGACTCGCCAAAATCAGTTAAAAAGATGAAATTCGTATTTTTGCCAGAAGATAAATTTAATTGGATTGCATTGGATTGGATTGCATTGAATTGGATTGAATTGGATTCCAAATAGTACTGTTTTTTATATAGTAAACTGTAATTCAATGCAATCCAATCTAATCCAATGCAATCCAATCAAATCCAATAGAGAAAAACAGCCAAAGTAAAAGCTTGGCTTAGCCCACACAATTTTTACAAAAATGCTCTAACAAATTCAACACAGAGCCATGGGCAAGTTTGCTCATCCCCCATCCCACCACAAAATCTGGAAAGTTATAATCGATGAAGAGACTAGTGCGTACAATGCGCCGACCAGGATTGCTGGCTCCAAAGCAGTGTTCGGGAAATTACGGCGTGGGCAATCTCAAAACGTTGCAAGTAAAGGCGCTCGCTAGGTTCGTCCTGACACAATGGAATGTGCTGGGGGACGTATGCATATCGAAAAAGAATGCAAACGATCTACGTGTATATTCTAAGTCGAGAATCATTCATCAAGAAGGGCACCCCACAACACCATTCAACGTGTCTTGCCATACCCACGCTATTGTTTCCGCACCGGGGCTTCACACTTCAATATTCTCGTCGCAGAACGCATCTGACGATTCCTCAGCTGAATTCTGCGGGTGCTGCTCCTCTCTGTCCCCGGCAAATTTAGAGAAATCACCGTCATCAGGAGGAGACTCTGGGATGGCAAATGCACGTTGCGAGACAGACTTTGTGTCAACCCTTTTCGAAGGCGGAATTCCAGGGCATAGGCCTGTAAGAAACACCCTCAAGACTTCGCGAGATCCGAGGGGCGCTAGTAGGCACTTACCAGAAAGTCAACATTTTCCCTTTCCCTTTGATATCGACATTTCCTCGGCAAATTAGTTTCGCAGAACTGTCCTGTTTCCGGAGAAGTTTGGCTGAGCGCTCAGAGCAATGAATTTTGTTCGCTACAGAAGTACTTTCCATGCGGTTGGCTGTGTTGACTGGGACAAATGAGATTAATACAACAGTTTTTGACTTGTGAGGCGAACGTTACTCCTTCTTTCAAACCAACACTTTCCTCAACGAAAAAACGTACCTGTATCTCCAAACTTCAGGGAAGAAAAAGCAAGGCAGCATGGATATAAGTGCACGGAGGCTTCCTTCAAGTATAGTCGTGATCACCTGTCAATCTTACCAAGCAGTAACGGGGGTTTCTGGTGCCAACAACGTCTGCGACAACCGAACCAGAATGGAACCCGACGCGAATGTGTACATAACCCTGACTTGGATCGTCCTTATCAATCAAGGTTGAGTTTGCTGCAGCAATGGCTCCCGCGGAAAAGTTTGCCATGCGCGCTACATGGTCGGATTCTTGGTTCTTGACAAGGTTGGTCACAGCCATGTAGGCTACAACGGCGGGGAAAAGGAACAGTGAGAGAACTGCAAAACACAACAAAGGCATCCATTTTGCTCTCTTACCGTCGCCAATTGTCTCCACCTGCAAATGCAAAGCGAAAACCATGCAAGGATGAGATCATGGTCGATACAATTAGTATACCAAAACGAACATCATCAATTCTCACCTTGAAGATGTCAAACTTGTTGCTCAGTGCATCGAGTTTAGTGTAGAGACGATCCAGCAGATTGGCCACCTTCTTTGGAGGAAGCTTGCATGAAATAGTGGTAAATCCAATGATATCTGTCAAAATTTGCAGAGCAGAGTTGTATGAGTGTGCAATGAGGAACACCAGAGGAAGTCGGAGCGTGCACCATGAAAGCCTTACCGGAAAAGAAAATGGTGACACAGTCCTTGTGCTCAGAATCTACCTCACGTCCATCTCGCAATGCCTCTGCAATGTGTCGAGGAAAGATGTCAAAGAGAGATACTGTAGCGGATCTGGTGGCGTTCTGGTCTGCTTGGACCATTTTGCCATCCATGCGTTTGAGGCGTGTGTTGATTTCTTCAAAGGTGGGTCTCTCATCCGGCAATGCTCCAAGGCAGTCACTCAGGAGACTTTGTATTTGTGCTGGGCACCCCTTTGGAACTGGAGGGCGTTTGTTTACAGCGCGGTCAGCAACTAGGCTCAATACATCTGCTGGATTTTCGCCTTCATACGGTTCTTTCCGAGAGTACACCTCATATACCATCACTCCGTAACTGTACACATCACTGGATCGAGTGTTGACAGTTTCACCACGGAGGAGTTCCTGCAGGAGGGGAGCACACAGCCGCCAGTGTCAGCATTGCTGAGCCAGGTGAATCCACACTATGTGTGCACTGTGAAAAACTTACTGGTGCCATCCAAAACTAAAGTAGTGATCCAAACATCATCGTAACCATGTGAGACACATGCAGCCCAAACAACCTTCCCAGCCTCATCAAACCACATCGTACCGGTGTGCCTGCTGCCTTTCCATCTTCTTCTGCCTTGCTGGACAATCCAAAATCAGACACCTGCAATGTTACGTACGGGTTAGCTTTTTTCTTTCGGGAAAACTGACTGTGCTCCGGAACAAGGGACTACACAAGGGACTGCTAGCAGCTCACCTTGGCTCTAAAGTTCTTGTCCACCAAGATATTCGCAGCTTTTAAATCCCCATGAATGACAGCAGGGTTTGATGCATGGAGAAATCTCATCCCCTGAGATACATCCCTCAAGATGTTCAGTAGTGTGTCCCCTTCAAAGACCATTGTGTTGTTCTGCAGAATGTCAAACAAGCTGCCATGATCCATGTACTCCATGACCATCAATGGCTCTTCTCCCGGGGTAATCACAGCCCCCCTACACAAAATGAAACAAAATGCAGCAATACGTGAATCAGTTTGTGCCGTACAAACAAGCCAGCAAGCACCCAGCGAATCAGTGAGTTGAATAATATTGACATACATCACGGTTGTAATACACTGTTGAGCAATGCAAAATGTGCCGAGTTAGATCAAAACAAGAAGCAAAAAGAGGAGGTTGCGCTCCCACAAGCAATGTCACACAGAAAGATGACCTACCGGGTGACGTAGCTTGGATAGGTAACTCAGTTCTTCCATCAAGTTCTTTTCAAGCTGTTTCCTGTCAATTTTTGCCCCGCCACTTCCCTCTTTGGCATTGGTGATAGTATTGCGGATGGCAGATGCCGTAGCACTCTTGGTTCCACCCCCCAAGGACATGTTGGCCCAGGATGATTTGCCAATATTATTATTGTTATTGCCAGCTTCCAAGTCTTGTCCATTGTTGGTGGCGCCACCCGGCACCGGCATTTCGAGCGTGCTGGTGGTTCCGGCATTGGATCGTTTCGTAGTAGTTTGTTCCGGTGGTACAATCCGTTTGACCGCCACTTCGGTTCCTCTGTATTCGGCCAACAAGACTTCCCCAAAACTGCCTCTTCCCACCACAACAGGAGGAGTTGCAAAGTGAAGTTCTTCCTTGGCGACTCTCCAGTACGTATCAGCCGTCTTTTTTTGCTGGAGCAAGACGACCACGGCGGCAATCATGGCGACCATGGCGACACAAGCAATAGTGACACCGGCAATGACCCCGGGATTGTCCCAGGCACTGGTTTGATAGAGTTCGACACACTCGGCGGTACTTCCAAATCCGACCGAAATCAATTCCACTTCTGCGCTATCAGTATTACAAATACAGACTCCCTCGCGCGAACATGTATTTCCCGTTTTGGTACAATCCGATTCGTGAATACAGTCTCGTCCATCCCATGTCGGCATGGGATAGAGAATGGGTCCATTGGCCTTGTCGAGTGGATAGGTGACCCGTACCTGTCCACTGGCATTGTATTGAATGAGTGCCGTGGGAGCGGCATTTTGGCCGTATTCATCAAAGGACACTTCTCCCACAATGGTTTGAAAGGTGGTTTGAAGCATGTACTCGGTCAAGAGGGTCACATTTTGATAGGATCCCACGGCTTGCATGGCTTGCAGCGCAATGGAAATGGCCGCAGCGGCATTGGCGACCAAATTGTGAACGGTGGTATCCGAAGACAATGCCTTGTAGCGAGCTCCAAATTCTTGTGTGGACCATCCCGTGAGCGCATCGGTGGCGACGACGGATTCGTGCCACGGTTCGACGCCCATGATATATTCGACATCTGTTCCCACCGCTTGCCGGAATCCATCCGCCCCCACACAAATGAGAAAGACTTGCGCTTTGGGCGACCAGTCCACTTGTCGCATGGCGTTCATCCATGGATCGCATTCGTGCAAACACGAAATCACGACATCGGGATCGAGTTCTTGGAGACGTTCGGCAGTCGGCAACAATGCCGTCGTGTTGGGATCGACTTGTACTTGGACATGCGCCACCAACTCGAGGTCGAATTCTTGCGCGAGTTCTGGAACCGGTGCACAGACTTGAGTGGGAAATCCAACATCTTCCCAAACAGTCGCCAGTGTCCGAGCGGATGTTTGTTCGCGAAGACCTTGAATGACACTCCGCAAGTATTCACCCGCCGGAGGAATGGTGCCGAAAATGGAAGGATCCTTGTGGAAAATGGAAGAAACGCCGGCCGCGCCAGCCACCATGAGTTTCTTGTCGTGCGGCAGTGACTGTTGATTGTGCTCCGCCACCACTGCGCCCAATGGAGCGGTCAAGTAACTCGTGTAGCCCGCCACAATCAAGTCAATGCCACTTGTACTTTCAGTAGTGGAGGAGGAAAAGGGCGAGCTGACTAACTTGCGTCCAATGGCGGAAGTAACGTCCAAATCGGACTTGTCATCGTACGCTTGAAAGTCCACCTTGTAATTGCGCCCATCAATCTCAAGACCACATTGTTCTTGATTAATATGACCCAGCATCAGGTAGGCTGCCAGTAGGAGTCGATTGGCAAAGTAATACATGCCGCCATCTTGTTCTAGAGAGGATGGACCACCCAGGACGATGGTACCGCCGTCGTACTGGCAGCCGTCCGTTAAGTTGCGCCGTAGAATCGACATGTCCACCGACCGGCGTACCGATACCAATGGAATCTCCATTTCGGCTCCAAATGTCATTGCTGGTGCCATCCATAGGAGACCGCACAGCGGCAAGAAGAGAGACGAGACGAACATGGTGCAGTGCAAACTGAGTTGCGGTCGCTGGAGAGTAGAGTAAACCAAGCTGAAAACGAAAAAAGTAAAGCTCAGGTTATTTTTGTGGGTGTAGCAAGGTCCGAATTCAAGTGTGGAGCTTTGAGGGAATCCAATCGAATCTTTCAGCTTCTTTGTCAAAGTGCCTCGTCGTCAATCGGTGGTCAGGAGGGTTTTCTGGTTTTGCCTTCGGAGCCCTTCTCAGGATGGTTTCTTTCAAGCATTCTTAATTAAAATAATTGTCTTGAATAAGAACAGTGTGAAAGTACTTGATGATTTAGGAGTATGATTTGCTTTGGTGATTGCACTGCTTTGCACGATTGCTCGCTACGGAATATACCTTATTTTCAACAATGGTTCCATCCAGCGAGATTATCATTTAAATCCATCCGTGTAGTCATTCTTACTTTTTGACGCGTCGACGAGAACTGCAAGAGCACGAAACTGCCTCCCATTTTTACAGGCCTACAGTACCTGGTATTGTGTCTCATCTACTGGACTTCCACCTCAGCTGCTACTCGGACGACATGTACCAGCAATCAATACCGCTAGTACCGATACACACGAACAAGATCTACGGAGGTGGCCACTGCGAGTATCGCTCTGAGCTATTGGTTTCATGTGGCGGTCAAATAAAATCAATACTGTATGAACTCTGTTAGAATGTTTTTGGTGTCTATTTACAGTACCGTCTTCCACCGCCGGTACTCGATGATGGCAATGGAACCTTGTCATTTAATTAAGTGGTGCAGCTGCAGTTCTCACAATGTCATAAGCGAACAGAAAGTCTTTTCTAGCTAGCTTCAACACTGGTTCCTTCAAGTTGATTATCATCATCTATCTACTAGTGCATAAGTAGATCAAGTCAATGTGTGTCATGCATCCTTACTTCTGCGCGCGAGAACGGCAAGAGCAAAGAGCAAAGGAAAAGTGAAACTGTCTCCAATTTTGCAAAGACATTTTTGTCAAATCTACTGGGAAGAGGGAAAAAGCGACCACAGTGCTCGAAACGGAGACCACATTGGACATGTTTTGACCAACTTTAACCATAAAAGTCAGATTTTAAAGATAAACGGTCATTTTGACTGCGAGGACCATGGTCAAGTGTGGTCAACCGTGGTCACCCGTGGTCAAGTGTGGTCAACCGTGGTCAAGCGTGGTCAGCCGTGGTCATTTACTAGTTAAATTGCAGTGAAAAATGTGGTCAGCCGTGGTCAAGCGTGGTCAGCCGTGGTCAAGCGTGGTCAGCCGTGGTCACTCGTGGTCAAGGGTGGTCAATAAATAAATAAAACGAATTCCCTATTTGATCTTTGACCATTGTTTACCTTTATAGACTACTAATAGCCCTCATTGACCATTTGCGGGACCAAGAAAAGAGCCATTTTCCCTCTTCCCTGGAAGCTAGTAAGTATTCAGTATGGATGTCATAGTCTAGTATCACAGTATTACTAAAATTGCGGCCATCTAAAATTGAATGCTCCGGTCCAGTCACCTTCAGTTTCACTTCATTGCTATCTACCGAGCCACGCTGTACAGTACTAGCTAAGTACCAGTACCGGTAGGGAGAAGAAATCTCTAAAACCGCCTGCAAGATTGCTAAAAGAGAAGACTTAAAAGGCAAGATACGTTCCACCTACAGGAATACTGCATTAATTCCTCAATGCTCTTCTTTGAGCCATGCAGCAACTTTCATGAGAACCTTCTGGAGTACGATACGAGTAGTAGCTATGCGACCATGCGAACAGTCTTTTCTATCTGAAATTTACTGGTTTCAGCCTGTTTTGTTGTTTTGGACTGTGAAATGTATAGATGTTTTGAGTGCTTTCAGAGCTGGTTTCACCTAGTTTTTGTTGTTTTTTGCTTTTCTTGCCCGAATACCATGAATTTCGTCGATTTATGCCCTGCCCCTGAACTGCTAATGAAGAAACTCAGAGGTGTCAGTGAACGCGCGTACCAGTAAGCAAACGAGAAACGAGATTGTTGCAGGGTGCGAAGCACTCCTTGCCAGCTGCGAAGAGTATTAGTCTACCGGTACCAATTTTATTTATTCGCCGTCTCTCAGCTCCCCCTACCGGTACCGTAAAACAGAAATCTGGCACCACATTCCCTCTTCCGGAACGACTCGACTCCGACGGCACTCTGGTGTACCTCATGGTGCCATGTTGGAGTGATAGTAATACCAGAGTTGGGGAACAGTGTGGGGTTGGTGCTAACCAAGAGCTGTTGGAACCCAAACACTGAACTGAGCAGCCAGGGTGGGATGGGTGGGTATCTTGCGAAGAGGCACCATTGTCATCTTCCTGTTGGCTGCTGCTCATCAATGAGGTTGGTGCTGGTTGGGCTCAAACTGTGGTTCCGGTGTTCCGGTCCACGGTCCGTCTCCAACACTGTGTAGTATTAGTGCACTTTGACAATGTCTGTCGGTCACTCCGTAGTCGCCGGTTTAATATATGTCTTTGACATTTTGCTAAAGACCGAATCATTATTAGGCTTAGTGAGTAATCTACATGCGGTCATGGAAAGGATAAGCTGAGTCATTAAAAGCTCGCACTCGAGAGATGACCAATGACTCAGTGAGGAATTTTTTTTTCGCAAAACGCAACAACAACGCTCTGCTAGCCAGGGTTTGCCTCAAAAGTTGTACTAGTATCATCCATCCTTCTATCATCATGCTCTGCCATTCCCTTCAGTTCGTTGCAGTATTCCTCTGTGTATCTATTACTAATGGTCTTGGTGGAGAGAAAGCTTTCTTTCAAACTACACCCGCAACTCCGGACCTCGTCAGTCACAGGCAAGATGTCTGTGACAGATTTGAAAAGCACCGTGCTGGTGAGATTGGACTGCGGAATGCCCTTTCGGGCCTATCATTGAGACCTGCTGTTATACACGTTGAAGGAAACCCTTTTTTCAAATACAGTGCCGATGAGGGTATTGACACTAAGAATCCAGGAATCGAGGCAGAGCTGATGGATGCGGTTGCAGAACGCGCCAATTTCACTTGGCGAAACTCCTTCGCGCTTACTGATCCTCCCAGCAGCTACAACATGACATGGACAGAATTATTGCTGTGGATTGTGGAAAATTATGATCTGTCAATGGGACATTTTGATCATACTGTCGAAAGAATGGAGGGAGGAGTGACTTTCCCAGAGCCGTGGTATGATGACAGCATGATTTTGATTGATAGGCAAAGGTCTCTGAGGGAAACCAATGATGTGGATCCGCTGAATTGGACAAAGCCATTTGAACCGGCAGTTTGGGGGATGATTGTTTTGACAGTTGTCCTGTCTGGCCTTGTCTACCAATTCATTGAGCACCTCAGTGGAGAACGAGAAGACAGATCACTCTACCAGTGGTTTTCCGATAACCTCTACCTCAGTGCCATCAATTTTTCCCAAAACTTTGAATATGCTCCAAGCAGTCTTGCAGGAAGACTATTTGGAGTCAGCATGACGATATGGGCACTTGTAATCACAGCAACCTACACAGCAAATCTGGCCTCTCTGTTTGTTGAATCCAGGGTGGAACCTGTTCTGGTGAATTCTATGGAGGAAGCTGTTGTTTATGGCTACCCTGTGTGTACCTATGAGAATACCAATGCTGATTTCTTCATCAGGGAAACCTTCCCAAATGCACAGCGTGTACCCGGAGAAGATGACAAAGTCTCTTTCACTTCACTGAGAAATGGTGAATGTGCCTTGGCAGTAACGTCAGTTGATTCCTGGCTTACTTATCAGGTCAATGAGGAGTACAACCCTGACTGCGATTTGGAATGGGTGGGCGAAAAGATCAAAACCATCAAAGCTGGATTTGCGATGAAGGCTGACGTTGGACACAAATGCAGCGGTTTGATTCGCCATGTGATCAATTTGCATTTGATTGAGCTTCATGATGATGGAGTCGTGGAGGAGCTCTGGAGAAAACATAGAGAAAGGTTAGATGATGGCATGTGTGCATATGAAAATGATGAGGAATCAGACAGGCGGCGCTTGCTCCACAAGACCCAGCAGGCGGTGTCGCACAGCACCCGTCCTGTGCATAGGAGACTGAAGGGTGGTGGCAGGGCATCATCATCAACCGAGGATGGTGTTGATGCGGATACCCTGACACTTCAGCAAATGGCTGGGACCTTCATTTTTCATTATGGAGGCATGGCTGTTGCTCTTTTGGTGAGTCTGATTGCCGCCTATGCTGAGAAGCTGAAATGCTTCCACTCAGAAGGCAAGGTGTATGAGAAAGTTACAAACAGGACACATGGACCAGTCATTGGGCTTCCACCACCAGTCAATACTTATGTGGTCCGAGATGCCAAAGAAGAATGTGCCTTGGATACCAATGCTGGCGACAGCGAGAACATCAGTGGGCAGCAAAACAAACCTGTAGGCAGTGGTGACGAGATCAGTCATCCAGAGATGGTTGCAAAACAGCAAGCCCTAGAGGCCAAACTTGACAGTGTCCAGAGTACAATGAATGCCAAAATGAATGCAATGCAAATGGCTCTTGATGTTCAGACGGATATGATTCGACAACTATTGAAGGGTCCCTACAACGAACACTTTGCTTGAGCTGGTTGAGCTTGTGCATGCGTTTGCAGGTTGGCTAGCAGCAATACTAGTGGCAGCTCATCTTAGTCTGTAGGTTTGTATAAGTAGATGAACATAATACTTGAACTGGGATGATTCGATGTGAGTCTTTGTTGATAGCTTGCTAGATGCTCTCCGGGTGGGTATGATTCCACGAGAAAGGAATGCACGAGTGTCTGTTGTGGCTTGATTCACCCCGCACCAAAACTATAGCTGGCACCGTCTTCATCTTTGCTTTGGATGAGAAGCACAATCACAGGCATCAAGAACGACACTTGCATTTCATCTGTTCGTAGAACCGGTATTATCGTGACATCTGCTTCGCGCTATCCGGCCCCCATCCTCCATGGTCTGCTTTTGGAACTTCTGGCTCCAAGCAATGCATGGGGAAGGTCGCGCCATTTCCTTCGAAATCAAGATTGTTCGTTGCGTCGCGTTGACGATGTCCAGCCAAGGACGATGAGGCAAGACGACACGAATCCACCTTGTTCTTGTAGTACGAGTATCGCGATATCTGCCTTTCGCTCCATGTATGTTTCGTGATTTCTCTGGTTTTTGGCTGGGGTATGGTCTACCGGTACCAGGTACCGGTACACGATGAAGCCACACCGAGAAGGTTATTGCTCGTTTCCGGTTGTGCCCAAAGGAAGGTTTTCGCACTGGCACCGGTACAACACAAAACCTCGAAAACCGCGTGCGCTTACCACACGTAGCCTCGACGTTGCCCCTTTGCTAGCTTGGTCGTAGAGTACCGGTATGTAGATGTTGGATACCGTCAGGTTGGGGTTTTCGTTGAGCAGCCAGCCAGCATCATCCAATCAGCATACTGGTACTCATTGGAGGTGCTCGAACAGATTGGGCATATTCGAACCTCCTACCGTATTACCGAGACCACGGATCTCCATACTGCACAAACTCTGTGCTCGAGTCCTGACCCTACTACCAGTAGCTAGCTAGGGTTTGTTCAACTGCAAGACGCACTTCAACCTGATGTTACCTTCCAGTTTCTCTGCTCCCTATCATAATGAAATCTCTGTTCAAAAAGACATGCTAGAATGATGACTCGAGTCGAGGCTAGAGAGAGAAGTGCATTCATTCAAGCCGTTGACTACAGGTAGGTGTGTATGAGGCGCACCAGCCAGCTTGTACATGGTGCAACACGAGCACGACACTATCTTTTACTTATTACTGGATCGAGGGGCGGAAGAAAGGGGTGGATCTCTTGGGGTCTCTGCCGGGAGAGTGTGTCTTTTGGAGCCCTGGTCAAAATCCTTGCAAGCTTGCCTAGTGCATCGCCACGGCGTCAGCACAACTAGAGCGTTGAAAGAACACGGAAATGCTATAGCATGCCCATAGCAGTATGAGGAGGTGTCAAGCCATGTGACAGCAGTCTCTCCGTGCTGTCTTGTAGTCAATTTGCATCATTTGGCCAAGCTACATGTAAAGCTCGGTCCCTGAATATTCGTTGGAAGCACTCAGTGTATGTACAGGAAGCACGTATACAAGGGAGAAGAAACGTTTCCGCTTTCGTTGTAGACTGACATGTTCAGTATTCTGGAATAGTTTGCCATCTCCATTAGTTTCACAGGGTCGAACTCGATTGGACTGAAGCTAGTCAAAATACCCAAGCTATTTGGCAGTGTGGCCGATAAGGAGTTCCCAGCCAGGTCACAACGTCGCAGACGAGACAGCAAAGCAAACTCTGTGGGAATGTTTCCATTTAGTTGATTCCCAAATTTCAATTCGTGGAGAGAAGTCAAGCGACCAATTTCTGTAGGAAGCGTGGAGGATACACCTGGTTTCTTCAAAATTCCCTGGAGATGCAGATCATGCAGGTTTGTGAGCAGTCCCAACGACGTGGGGATCGTCCCGACTACGTCGTTGAGTTGCAAAGAACGCAGATTGGTGAGCAGCCCAATTTCGTTTGGTACAGTGAATGCCGTCAAATCTGCCGTATCACGGCTCGAGTGCCAAAGATGCCTCAGATTGGGAAGCAGAAATAGCCCAGAAGGAATTTGCCCAGACAGTTCAGTCCACTGTAGACTCAGGACCTCCAATTTGGAGAGCCTAGAAATTTCCCTAGGGATGGGGCCACTCAGCGTTGTGACGTCCAAACGCAGATTTAGTAGCTGAGACAGATTGCCAATCTCTGAAGGGACGGACCCGGCGAGATTTTCGTTCCAGCTTGCATCCATCATCGTAAGATCGTTCATCAGGCCAATCTCAGTCGGCAGCTTCCCTGAAAGGAACTGTCCCCGAAGGTCCAAAACAGAGAGCCCGGTTAGCAATGAAATCTCTGGAGGAATAGTCCCATGGATTTCATGCAGGGAAATGTTGATGTATTTCACAACACCACTGGCATCACATATTAATGAGTAGTCAGTCCTGCACTTCACTACACTGTAGATCATTTGCATCTGTTCCATGCCAGCCGCAGTCATCCCGCCGCAAGAAACCCGTGGCAAACCACCACGAATGTTGAGGAAAGTCCATTCGTTGCAAGGATTCTCGAGATCTGCAATGCTTGGTATCCAAGGCCCCTCCAAGGCATAGTACATGGTCGCCAGAGCAAACCTTTGACGGTGCCACCTTGGCGATATGTCTTCAGTACCAAGTGTATCTAGGTCACTGCCAGGCCTGGATATCCATTCCCACGCTTTCGTTCCGGACAACGACAAACCAATTGGCACGGCTCAGAGCGCGAACAAAGGGCGATTCCCTCAGGGGCACATCCAGTTGCTCTTCCAAGGCACTGTTGTCTCCCTGAAGAATGGCAAAGGAGCAAATCCAAAGGTTTGGTTTTCTTGTAAAAGGTCGAAAGGCGGCCCGGATGGAGTGCACAAAGTTGGCGAATGGCTCGTCCCAAGAGTGGGTAACAAAAGCATCCACTGGGAGCCCCCTTGGATTGAGACCGAGTGCGTACGAGCGTCCCGTCTGTCGGCATCTTGGAATGATAATGGCCTTGTTGATATCTCGCATGGATTTTTGAGAGTAGTTCCAGCCTCCAAAGACCCGCTTGGCCAACGATTCGACGTCCAAAAGTTGCTGGTATGTAATGGACCATGTGCTTGGGCAGGCCGTTTCTCCTTCGTCAGGTGGATCTTGGGTCTGTAATGGCGTCAATTCTATGCATACCTCGCTGGGTAGGTTCGTTGGTGTGTCTCCTATCGACCCATCGTCGGTCCTACTTGACGCCACAGATTCTTCATTATTGGGGCCATCGAGCAGTGGCTTGCCGAGTAGAGCCTCCAACTCGACATCTCGAGATCTTGATACCATTACAGGCAAACAGTCTGGGAGTGGCTTACAGATCTTACAAATAAATGCATTGCACCCGAACTGGGCCGACTTCAAATTTCAGTCGGGATTTTAAATTGACACACCTGTGATGGGAAACTGAATACTAAATTTAAAAATAGATGGTTTGAGAAGCAAGGGGGGTATGCCGGGCAGGGCAGGGCAGCGCTGCGGAATCACAGGGAGAAAGCAGGGAGGAGGACTGCAGGGCTAAGGGGGACAAGGGGGACCTGTGATGCTCGTAGCTTGTCAGAAAGGTATTTTCGTATGACGGACAGACGACTCGGGATCCACAATCACGGTTCGTGATTGGGGATGTGTGACTCAAATCAGATGGTTATGCGACAATACCATTGTGGATTGTCTAATCTAACGATCTAAGAGATGTAAAGTTTGTATTTCCAAATAAGTGAGCAGTATTGATTATTTTCTAGAATAAGCCTGCTAATTGTAAAGCTGTAAGTGAATGTAAGCTGTATCCCGTCGCCTCCCTTACAGCTGAAATGAAGCTGGAGCAAGAAACGATAGGAGAGAGTCCCCAGCAAAATGCTGAGGTAAATTACCATCCATGAGGAGCTTCCGAATGACAGCAACTGTGGAGCCGGAAGACCTTATGTGAAAATGTCGGCCCGTTTGTCCAGAGTCGGAATATACTTAGCCACGTTGCCTTCGACTCCCCGATATGACCTGAAGAAATGTACTTCAATGCCAAATACTTTTTGCGCGCAGACATTTTGGAACATTCACAAGAGACAAGCAACCTTGTTGTCTTCGAAACTGTGAGAGCGCACGAGACTGTCAGTAATTACCGGCATATTCAGTTTGCTACCAATTCCTTTGAGCAAAGCTCGCATAGGAAGCAGCTCCTCATTGACATGCTGAAGGCAACAATACTCAGCAGCAGTGGAGCTCAAGTAATATCAGTTCTGTAGCTTGCTGGACCGATAATAGGGCACCCAAAAGAGTCAGGACAAAATCCAGTGCGAGACTTGACGGACACAGGATCCTGTTCATCCTCATATCCATACAATCCGGCGAAGTCAGCATCGACCCAACAATCAAGTCCCTGATCAAGTTTAGGGCTAAACAAATGCCTTTGTCACTTGTGCCATCAGTACCGAATGATACGTTTGATTGCTTGAGCATGGAATGCCTGGATTGTGACTGAATCGTGCCACCTGGTGCACACTAAATGTGATGTCTGGGCGGGTTTCGACGCAATATAAAGAAGCATCCCAACTGCAGCTGGATAGCTCCACTCTTCTTCAAATGGGGCCCCAGTTTGTCAGCTCCGAGGAGATCGGTGGCGGCAGGAAAAGCTTCTTGCTAGCGTCAGACATACCAGTTATATTCGATGACTTTATTGATGAGCCCTTTTTGAGTAAGCTCAACATTGTCTCCCTGTCTT